TTACGTCGAAATCAGTCAAGCCCTACACGATAAACTGTTAGCCAGCTGAGATAAGCAACAATTCTGTAAAACAGGTCAAGAATCGCTTACGTTCATCACCATACTTGGCCGTAGGCGTTCGGATGCCATCTGCTGATATGTACAAAAGCACCGCCCCCGTGGCCGAAACGTCTTTGAAAGCCGCTGCAATGACTGTGTTGAATTGAGAAAAAGTTGGTTTATACAGAAGGTACTTGTGCGGATTGTGAGGCCTTGTGGGTCCGCAACCGCTGGCACCATTGGAACCAGCCTCATCATTTGCATGACCAGAAGCCGGGAGCCCATTTTCCAAACTGCCTAAACCACTTAGTCTCGAGTTTGGAACGCTGGTTGTGCTGCCATGAAGCGTGTCTAACGGATCGCGCTCCAAAGTTTGAAGCATGCGGTACATGTCCAGGGAGAGTTCACTGAAGCGCGTTTGTTCGTAACAGTTGCCTACGATCAGCACTTCAGATAGTTGCATGTATCCGGAGCCACATTTCTCTACCTGGGGGTTGTTTAGTGGACTCAATCGATGCTTCAGCACGGTTGCCGTGGAATCCGGATTGAGAACGTTTAGTAACGCTTCTCCTTCGACAAACTCCCGAATCTCCTGAACAACCATATCCCACTCCGATTGATCTTCAGGGTCGTACACCGCGGTGTACTCTTCTACTTGTTTGGAAAATTCCTATGGGGACCAAATCAATTAGAAAGCGGAAAAATTTTTAATACTTACTCGGAGTAATTCATGAACTAACTTCATTTTTCGCAGCAACAAACAAACTAGGATGAATCGAGCATAGTAACGTAACTTTTTCACCATCAAATCAGGGCGTTCTTCCTTGCTTGCCTTTGAATAATACCCGCGTGTGCGAATTGCCGAGAAAAAGGCGAACGATTCGGTTAGATAATGCAATTCGCTGGAACGCAGGCTGTGGGAAAGAAAGAAGAAGAAGGGGAAGCTATTTACTCTCGGTGTGAACACATGCGCTACTATAACATACTGAGTAGGCGACAAAACTTACTAGTAGAGATGATACAACTGGCCAATTTTTGATGCCACTTCGCCGATTTGCCATCGTTTTAAACCGTACAGTTCGTCTAGTTTTTGACGGTGTTGTTGTTGGAATTTCCACAATTTTGTGTAAACGTCAAAAGTTCGCCCAAAATATGCCTTCCATTGTTTGTGACCATGTTGAGGAAGATCGCTGAATGAGATCAAGAAAATGCGAGCAGTATATTACTAAAAGCTCTGGACGTCATAGATTCTGATGCGAAACCATTTTCCGGGGGTTAGGTAGGATAGCAGCAACGAAAATTACGCCCAAAAACTGACCAGTAT